AATCGGTCGGGGACGACTACATACCTTTCGACACAGTATTTTTTTACGTACCGTGGAAAACATTTTGAAACACATTGAAGCAGTTGAGCAAGCTATCTGGTAGCAGAAATTGAGACAGCAGACAATGTATGTTGCTTTTACGTTTTTTTTTTTAATTGCGTTATTCTAGCCAGTTCTTGGGTTGTTATAGCATCAGCGAGTTTAGCATTTGTATTTTCTTTTCACGTTTTGTTGTGGTAATGTTTTGTGTCGACAAGATAACGGGCCCGTCCTGTTTTCAACTTCTCGACCTGTACGGTCTAGCAAATTGTGAATTAAAAATTTTCACACTCATCTGGGCCGAATAATGTCATGTGGTGGCTATTCTTTCGTGGATATAATTAATATTAGGATATGGTAAACATTTTCCAGAGTTCCCTTAAAGTTATGAAAATAAAAACCTTTGAAAAACAAACATAGACAAGCTGCACTTTTTAAATAAAAACGATGCAAAAATTTCGGATGGAAAAATTGAGTGTAGCGACTCATATACAGGATGTGTGATGTTGTCTAGGTTAACATGCTGAATTTCGCCGTCCCGCGCTCCACATTACTTCTTAATCCGAGAGAATCTACATTTTTTCTTGTGTTTTTTTTAATTCTAGCAGGGCTAGGTATCCACATATAAAAATTTGCTCACACTAGTTAATCAGGAATTTTTTTTGTGTTGAATATATATGTGATGCAACATATGTTTTTATTTTCAGACTACGGGAACCGAGCTGCTGACCAGGTTTCCCAAATGTTCATAATCTCCGTGCATTTCGTCCATGGGGTGGTCAAGTATGGCCCGCCATACTGGCAAAAGTATATAGTACGAAGGTAGGGTAGGCGTCTGCCACGATGACACCCAATCAATGGCCATGTCTTCTTGAACTCGTGGGATATATCATTCAGCCAGGAGTCACCAGCTAGGGAAATACAATAAGCCAATGTCCAATATTCCCTCTTGGGCGTAGTTATTAGGGTTTTATTTATTATAATATGTGTTTCTTTCCATGTTATGAGCTACAGCATAGTCTGAATATTTATTATAAGTGCCACCCTGGCAGGCTGAAGCTTATATGAACCGTAAGGTTCCTATCGTGAGTTAACTGAAATGACGGCCTGTATTGACTAGTCTGCCGGTGTTCGTGCTTCATGGCAGCCTTACCATAAGTTGTTGGACGAAACCTGTCTTGTCTTCAAGTATTTTGATTGAAGGTTGCCTTACATTTAAGCAATGCTATAAAAACTATTGTGTATTTTTTAATTATTTAATTTGTGGGTTCTGTCACCTCTAATTCCATTGCAGGAAGTAACTCACAGTGTATTATGTGGCGTGTCGTCTGGTTAAAGAGGTGATGTAGCATTCATTTTTACTTTCAGTATTTACCGCTTAGAATTATTCCTTCATATTCGTAATCTATGAAACACACAATAGTTTTTGTCGGCATGAGAGCAGGGGAAGAAAAAGGGAAAAACTCAGCGGCGTTCTCCCCGCAACTGGCAGTCATAACAATTGCCCATCAGAATGGAGTCGATTATTTAACGCCAATGCTTATCATAGCCACTCGTTGTGGTTGCCAAACCACAGGGTATGCGCTGAGTTCCACACAATGCTGATGTTCAGCTGTTTCCGTCATCGCAGAGAGTGGGCACGGGCAACTACCCGAATTTATGTCAAGGCATTGATCATCACTAGCATAAACCGGGTGCTTACTAGTGCTCGTGTCCGGGACATGAGCTGCATTTAAATAACATCACTACAGTGATCGGAAAGCTTAAGGATTGCATTGTTGATGATTCCATCAATGCGATCCCCTCAAATTTGTCATCAAATCTTACAAAAGAGAAAGTGAAAAAACAAAACAAAAAAAAAACACATCAGTTTTATCCTCAGAACTACGCTGCGACAAAGACGCTCCTTCGTCAGTGGCGTTGGATGCGAGAATACTTGCCAGTAACCCTGTGGAGAATATGAAACATTCCTACCCAATATTGTTGCACAGCCTCTTGAAAGCCCCTTCTCTAATATTCATATGTGCACCAGTCTCAGGCGAAATCTTCATGTGGAATTTCTTTTCAGGTCAGACTTCAAGGCAGTGTCAAATATGTTGTAAGTTTAGGCAAACAAAATTCACAAAATAAACGGACCTTTTTATATTTCGTTTAGAGGAAACTAATGTCCACTGGCATTTTAATTGCGGACACAGTTGTGACAAGATATATCACCAACTCCTGCTCAAAGCCATGTGGCATGGGGCTTCTAAAGCCTGGCACAATCACGGTTTTGTTTTTTTCTTCATCACAATTGTTTTCTTGAGCACAACATTATTTAGCAAACCACAGTGTTGCGGAATAACTTACATTGCCATAGACTTATTGTTATCAATTGTGCAATGATAGTGCAGCCAACAACTGCCAATTATAGAGGTTTAGTGGCCTGGGCTGAAGCAAAGTTTACTATGAGAATGCGAAAGAATAAAAAAAAAGAAAAACAGTTTATTCGCGATCTCATAATGCCCAGTATCAGGTTTCTGCAGGTATCACGTTTTTCTACAGCAGCCTAATCTACATGAGACGGCTGGTGCTCATCTTTATTGTGTGGTTGTAACACAAGTTACCAAACCAAGTTGCCCAAATGTTCATCATTGGACAACATTTGAATAATTGGAATCACTCAGAAGTTTGTACTTTTTTCGAGATCCTTAGGCCGAATGAATTGTTTGAGAACGCCAGCTCTATTTTCGCGGAATCCATGGCGGCATTGTGAATTATCTCCCCCCCCCCCTTTTTTTTTTCCTTCGTGCTCTATGGTTTCCCATCACCTTCCCTGATAACGTGGCCCTCATCCTACTTCGTTTTCGGGAAAAAGAAACCGGCTCGTTGGAGTTGTCATTAATCGTCTGCCGCCAGTTGGAAAATAGTATTGTCCATCCCTTAGTATTATGTTCTTCCTCGACCAGCCAAAATATTTTTTTCTTTTCAAAAGTGATTAGAAGTTTGAAATTTAAGTAGTCGAATCTCAAAGTATAACGTCGAACCTGAGGTAAAGCAAAAGTTCGCCGCACCCCTATAAACAGCCAAGAAATAGCCACACAGCCAACCCCCCAGATTCGACGCCAAAGAGAAAAACATATAGCCCAAACCGGCAACAGTGCAACGAACATCGGTTACCTCACCCTCGCTCTCTCCGGGGCCAATCTTGCATTTCTTCGACGGGAACTTCAGCCGTGACCATCATCTCTCTCTCGTTCACCACTCCGTTAGGCTCCTTTCCTCGTCTCTTTTTCCACCCTTTTGATCCATGTTCTATGGCTTCCATTCACCTACCCTGATAACGCGCCCCTCCTCCTCCTCCTTTTTAGAAGAAAGACCTCGGGACGTCGGAGTTGTCATTGAACATCTGCTGCGAGTTGGGAGATCGTCTTCTTCGCCCCCTGTGTTTTATGTTCTTCCCATTATTTTTATATTCGGTTATTGCATGGTCTTACAAAATGTGCTTTGAAAGGCGATTTCCAGCATTTCGTCGTGAAGATTTGGAATCCCCAATGTTACCATATTTATATGCCGCTCAAACAGTGGCCCTGGAAGCGAGAACGGCATAAGCCCTTGGGGTGAGTATGAACGGTTATTTTGGTATGAATGTTATGTCCTTGCTTAAGCCTTTCAGCAATTCACTTCTACCGCTTCCATTTCTATCTCTACAGTGCAGCGAATCTTCTATATATTACAATGAGCACCGGGTGAAGTAAATAAATTTTATTTTATTGTAGGGAAGGCGGTAGAGTCGTTACACAGCGACCAGTTAGTAACCGGCACAAATAATGTAACCAGATCTGTATGATATGTCAGCAGAAAGACAGTCTTGCACATTGAAGATGTTCAGTCAAGTGGAAACTTTTATCTAAAATAAAGATCGTAAAGAACACATCACGGAAGGCGAAGCCTTGCCAGCGCCTGCCTAGTCTGCAGTCAACACAAAACAGATGCCGTTTGTACAATCTGGAGTAGTATAGTAATAATACAATATATAACCAATTTCATATAAAACCTAGCTTATGCATATTTCTAATAAGTTAAAAAAAATAACCGACTACACTTTTAAGAACGCCCTTTAACATAAGAAACACTGCACACACCACACGTTTTGTTCTTTTTGCTGAGGTGAAGTTTGAAAACGCGCCCGCGGCTGCGTGACAGCGCCGTCTTAGATATTGAACGGCTTTGTCTTCGGAAACGGATATGCAGCTCTTCAACCTAGTTCGGCATTTTCATAAGTCATAAATAAATCGTTAGTGTTCCATTTTATAAACATGGTGCTTGCTTACTATTTAATTTTTGCAACCGATCTATATAAAAAGTAGTGGCCGATTCGTTAAAGTAATGAGCGCATCCCGGCATGGAAGTGCTGCTGAGCACCCAGTTTGTCCAGAAATCGACTGTATTCCCTCTGTGTGACTAACCCGGGTGTTCTGTGTCGCATCGTAACGGTAGAGGCAGTTGAAGAAGTTAAGACATGTTGTCAGGGCCCGGAGGCCGCCTTTCTCTTTGTGATTATTTCTTCTTGATTTGTTTTCGTTTCTCTGGCTGAAAAGGTGAACCGCAGGTTGGTCCTTTTTTAGGTTTTTGAATGCGCTTTTAGCTACGCTGGCCCTTTGGCTGCTTCATTTTGTGTACTTTCGTTCGTTCTTTTTTCTCTCATTTTTGCTATACTGGCACGGGAAAGAAGCGTTCTGCGAGATCGGAAAACACGAGCTGCCGCCGGAATATGCGGATGTGATAGAAAATGTATGACGCGCTATAAATGGCGCCATATATGCGTGATGATCCACTTGTAACACCAATATTTCGACATACTCGGTCGTCACAACATCGGGAGTCGTACGTCACCCGATGTTGGGAAAGCGAAGGCACCCACGGACGCGTGCGACAGCGTTATTATATCGTTAACTTAAATAACGGGATTCAGTCTTATTTCGCGATAAAGCTGATTGAAACTAGAACCTATAAAAATTTTCCATCGTCTCATTTGATTGATGTTTGTCTTGTGAATGTTTATGTCAATACGATATAACGAATAAAAAACAGAATAGCGAGCACTGCATAAGGTAACCCTGTAAAACTGCGGAACGACTGCAGCCATTGAAGTCGTTGACAGGAACCTCATTCGCTCCGACCGGGGTTTTGTTTTGGCTTTGTTCTGGCATTTTTGTACGAGCCCTCTCCTCGATAACTCTGGGGTCCAGGTTGAGTGGCAGGTTTCCTCTTCGCTCACGTCCGAAGAATGAGGATATGAGGTCCACGCCGCAGTTGATGGTCCGCTTGGCGTCCTCACCGAACGCCAATCTGGGGTTGACTTCAGCTAGGTCCAGAACTCGAAGTTGACCTGCGGGCGGAATATTCCGCAACCGAAATAAATAAGAAACGAAGGAATGTGAATTAGCAGGTAGTTTTGTTAGAGGCTTCCGTAACAAAGCCTGAATCTTAACAAAGCACACAATTAAAACTAAGAACTTATTTTTTCTTTCGAGAGAAGTAATCCCTGCGTTTAAATGGTATTATCCTTTATATAAAGATCAAAATGGCATTGATAAGATATATGTGTTTCATTTGATCAGGTACGCCTCATTCGTCTGCATATTTTCGCGTTTTTATTGTTTCCATCTGGACACAACATACGCGTGATATATTAGAACGCTGCTCTTGATTCTCGAAGGTGATTATACCGTTTCTCTAAAGTTCATAAACAAAAATAATACATGTACAAATGACGAGACAAACAGTGATAAGATTTCTGGGGCACAACGAGCACGTACCACGTGCCAGCAAGCGTCCTACCTTGTTTCACGGGGCGGCGTCTGTTTCTAGGACACCTTTGATTGGATATATTTCGTTCTTTGTGCATTAATAAGACAAATGAGAAACACCAGAAAGTAAAGGTGGAATTGTGGATATTCAAAGTCCGGCTATCGGGTACTACGGTTGCAGAATCATGACCGCCTCAGGAGCGTCGAAAACGGCCCTCGCCGGCAGCGGTTTATCTACTTCTTCGGCTAATTCGGATTATCATATCGTTCTGCCTCCCCTGCCCTCAGGAACTATATCGTGCGCAGCTCTGTGCTGCTGCACGGCGACGCGAGTGCTCGCCCATACAACATAGGTGATTTCAGAGTCAAGATGGAACGTCCCGGTGTGATTGGGCACATTGAGGCGCTCGTAGCCTATCAAATGAATCATCTCTGAATGCATGGTGACCCTCAAGACGGAGGAAGCCAAGCTGCGCCTGGACACAATCAAGGAACTGTAGGAAAATAGCAAGCGTCGCATCGTCGCGGAGCTTAAGAACGAGGACGTCCGCATGAAGTTGCATTGGCTTCTCGTGCGCGTTTTAGAAAATTGTCCTGGACCTGACGCGTGAAAAATGGAATTCGGAAGGATTTACTGGCGTCCAGTCGATGACAAGACTGGTGCGGTTAAACCTAAAGGAAGGCGTCACTCTAGAACACCTCCCGCGCCAGTCGAGGATTGCTGGTGATGACGTTCTGGTTGTGATTCGGGAACGCGATCCTTCATATCTACGCTGCAAAGGTATAGGGCATTCGACGAGTGTGTCTTCTACCGCGATGCGACGAATGCAATCGCTTTGAAAGCGAGCGAGATAACAACGTCCCCGTACCTACGTAGCATATGTACGGACGCAGAAAGTGCTGGCGGATGGAGGCGGTGTCCTCAACATGGACGAGCAAGAGGCAGAGGAGATCGCACGGGACGTCGAGACTGAGGTTTCCGCCACAGCCGTTGCGAAAGAAACCCCGGTCGCTCTACCGAAACAAGTACACCGTCCAAATTTGCAGCCAAAGGGGTACGCCGCGAAACCTGACCATTCGCAAGCGTCGTATCGAGCGTCGTCCGAGTGTCCATATTAAAAGGCGTCGAGGCAACATAAGACCCGGAATCAAAAGACACGAGCAAGGTAAACCTGAGCGACGACAACTCTGACCTTAGCGACTCTAGTGAAGCCATCATGCGGCCAGGGAGAGCATAAGCGCATTCCTAGTTTAAGTGGCACAAGGACATCACACGGAGGATGCGCTTTAAACCGAAGCCACGCGTCCCGACGGAAGAGCGACGCTGGCCCGCCCCTCCGTAGGTCACTTCCTTTTCGTTGGTCTCTTGTCTCCCTGCCCATGTCTCGACAGTAGTTTTCGTCCCGTGACTTTGCCCGCATCCACATTTCCACAAACGTGACAACGTCAAGTTTGCAACCCTCAACTGTGTCAGTCTTTGGGCCAGAAGAAGAGAGCAATGCGTGCTGGACAACACTCTGCACGAGCGGGTTGTGTCGCTTTTTTTTTTGGAAGAGACCAAGTTGGCCGCGGACGGTCAAGTGGAAGAGATGACGCGCTTTTTTTATCGTCACTTCGTCATATTCCTGCCGATGGCAGTTGTACAGAGCAGAGTAACGGCGATAATGATTTGCAATAGGAGAGGCATCGCAATCTGCCCCGAGTCGGAGGGAGGCAGGAACGGACAGGTGTGTGCTGTAGAAATGTTCCACTTTGGACAGGTTCACACACTTGTATCTGTGTACGCACCTAATGACGCGACTGAGCAAAGGGACTTTTTCAACAGCCTTCGCCAGTATCTTGACACAACGTATTGAATAATTATGGCTGGCGATTTTAATTGTGTGCTAGCCGAAAGGGATTGCTCCAAGCGGCTGAAAGCGGACGTTAGCCGGGCGGAACTGCAAAAACTAATGCGTGACTTTGATCTGGTGGACGCTATGGACAACGAGGAAAGAGCCGACCCGACGTACACGCAATGTCAAGAAACTTGCCATGCTCGACAAAATTGTGTGTATCTCTCGGGAGAATATTCAACAAAGACGCCTGTGTTAGAATTTCAACCATTGGCGTCCTCGTACCACGCTCTGGCAAGGTAACGCTCGGTAGACCCGTGCAGCAAACCCAGAGGTCCTCGTGGTGAAGCGGATGGAAACTAAACGAAAGTCTGCTGCAAAACGATCCGCTGCGCGCAAATCATGGAACTAATTGAGAGCAAGACCAAAGAGGTGTTAATGAACGGTGTCACCTCGGAGAAGCTAAAGCAAGAGATCAAGCTCGGGGCGTTCCGGTACAGCCAAGAAAAAGAGGCACGCGCATAGGCAGAGAAGCGCCTCCTCAAGAAGACACTTGGGAAGCCGAACTCCTGGAATGTTTATACAAGACATTTGAGATTTTAAAGGCCGTATTCTAGCGCTCTTCAAGAAGGAATACCGCAGCTTCATGGTTCGATGCAGAAGAAATGAAGAGCCGTGCAAGATTCTTAAAACGAAGGATCACCAGCATGCCTTTCGTAAGAAGATTACAACCTTCAAAGTAGGCGAAGCCGAGGCAAACAGAAAAAAAGTATATTGAAGATGCCTTTGTGAGCGCTTACAGCGACCTGTTCGCGAGGGCGAAGAAAGGCCAAGACAGCCGCAACGCCGGAGTGGCGCTGCCCAAGATCTCTGAAGCCGTCAAAGAACTGAAAAACCGGAAGATAGCGACGACAGAGGTAGAAGATACCATCAACTATCTGGCACTGCGCAAGTCATCAGGGGTAGACTGGCTCGGCAGCCTCTTCTACAAGTCATTCACAACAAAGTTAAACCCAGTCCTCAAACACGTTTTTGCCGACGTACTCGAGCGAAGATTAATGCCGCCCTGAATTGGTCAGGCGGTCATGGTGCTCATCCCGAAGAAAAGCCTCGAAATTTGACAACTTTCTGCCTACGACTGACAAAAAATCTTCGCGGAGATCTTGGCAAAGGGACTGTAATTGGGCCTTCAGGATGTCATTGGAGACCACCAAACATACGGCATCAATGGGCGAAGCATCACCTCAAACCGCACGCGATGCGCATCATGTTTAAAACTGCACCGATTCGACAGTGTCCCCTGCCAGTTCTGCAAGTCTACCTTAGCAAAGCATTCTACCTGATGAGCCACTCCTTTTTGTGCCAACTCTTAGAAGAGTGCGGGATTGGTACACTTTTGCTCTAATATGTGCAGCTCTGCCACCGCGACATCACGACTCGCCTGCTTGTGAACAGGAAGATGACGGCACCTATCGCAGTGACTAGGTCCGTACGTCAGGCCTGCCCAATGTCTCCAATACTATTCGCCCTGTACCTCGAACAACACATCAGGACAATCATTGGTGATGCGAGTATTCATGGGGTGACTGTAGTAGGTGTCGCTAAAAGTGATCGCCTACGCGTACAATGTTGCTGTAATGTGCTCGTTGAAAACGCAACTGCGCGCCGTGGTGCAGCACATCAGATGCTTCAGTTTCGATTCGGGTGCGGTCAAGAATAATACGAATTCTGCTGGCACCTGGCTGAAAGACTAGGGCACAAAGCAAGAGCGCTATTTTGGAGTCACCTGGACCCCGGGCGTGTCGAACGTTCTTAGTGTCAGCTTGGACACAGAGCAACTGAGTGCCGGACGATGTCGTCTGAACGTTAATCGTCTTAAAGGGAAAGTCGCAGACTGGCACGCCCGAGAATTATCTTTGTCTCATTGTTATTTTATTTGTAACTCTGTTTTTCTCCGTGCAGCGTGGTATGTGTCCCAAGTGTTGCCGTGTTCACGAATTTACACTAAAAAAGTATATCTTTTTTCCGCATCTTTTGTGTGTGGGGCTCGGGGTTTAAACACATGAGGCGAAGCAACCTCTTTCTAAGTCGCAAGAAGGGCGGCCTAGGTCTCGTAAACGTGGAACTTAAGCTTAAAGTAAACATGTCTTTTTTTTTCTCACGAATCACACAAACTTCTTATTGTTTCCTCTTTAACAAAACTGGGAGGAAGATATCTAAGCCAGTGGCTCGAGGGCGTGCTCGAGAAACACGCTGGGAACTCCCGATCGCGCTTTTTGAGGTTCTATGGAGAAATAGCAGCGGCTAAGGTGTTTTTCAAAGCCCGCTTCTCACTTGGAATGTCTCTAGAATATAAAAAAAAACTGTATTGGGATACTATTGACTTAAAAACACCGCCTCCAGTGTATCGTGTTTTTTGCTGCGACTGCTGTAGACTCTGATATTTTTCAGTGTTTCAGAAAATACTAGTTTGAACGGCGATAAAGAATTTCTTTCTTTGCTTAAACTTTGAAGTGCTCCCTGTCAAAGTATGGCTCGGGAAAAAAAAAAAAAAAAGGTTTTTACGAGCCATGATCGACCAACTGTGTGCTATGTGCAACCCCCAGAACACTACGGCTTTGTTTACACTGCACAAACGCCGCATTGTTTGTGGGCAGAGCTCCGAGCGGTGCTGGGGGTCGACTTTTATGTCGGCTAGAAAAGTGGGAAGTTTTTGAAGATCATAAAGTCGGCTAGAAAAGTGGGAAGTTTTTGAAGATCATAAAGTATCCCGACAGTAGAGCATGGGGGTGAGGGGGATCTTTGTCCTTCTTGGCTTTTGTGCTATATAGCAATGCATGACCGAGCACCTCGAAGGTTATGGAAGGAGCGAAACTTGCATGACTACGCCTTATCGAATGGCTCATCTACCTGGGCCCGTTTTCTCGAACGCGAACCGTGGTTTAAAGTTAACTATTGTCCCTAGAAGGGGGAATTCCAGGTCACGTGACTGGGAGAGCAGGGGCGCCGAGGGAGGAGCAGTACCTAGAAGCAAAATGGCCGCGGCGTCGCTTAATCAGGGCTAATAGTTCTGCTTGGTTCTGCTGATTATTCAGTTCGATCTGGCTGTTAAATTAATGACTCACCATCAAAATATTAGCACGTCAAGCAAAGCGATAGTTCAGAGGGACTACTAAACTAACCGACGGCAGCATTCCGCGAACGCATCACTCTTCAGCAGTCCGGGATCCAAGACATATGACGGTACATAAGCCTTGCAAGTGTTTTTATGGTGAGTAAAAGAAACGTTTTGCGAACGACTGTTGGTATATATTTATACTAAGACGTTTAATTTGTTACACTATGCACGCCAACTCGTGAGCAGCGATTACTTTGCGGAGAAAGGGGGCTATCCTCAATAAAGTATTCGTTCCGTGTAAACAGCTGAGACATTGTACTGTTTTTTTTTTTTCACAGTGCGCCGACAGTATGCCGACAGCATTGAGGTTTCAACATATCCCCGGTGGCCAGCAATTCAACTGTGACGAGAAGCTTAGCTTCTAGTCACCGGTGAATCGGTTGGGCAATCGGAAGAGAGGGCAAACAGTTGAGATCAGCAGGAATCGCAGAAACGTGCGTCGCAAGGAACGAAAACGAGACTACAGCACCGACGTTGCCAGACTGGAAAAAACACGGGAAAGTTATGCATTGTTTATGGCGAAACGTATTGAAGGAAATGTTTCTTACATTTACGAATATTCGTCGACAAACTCTAGCATAGTAGCTAAAATTTCTTCGTACCATCGGAAGCAAATAAATTGGTCTTCAAGTACAACATTACTATATTTTGACTTAAAATACCATACTAGACCGATGACAACCAGCGGAAAAAGAGGGTAAACAAAATGACTGGCTTGTTTATCCGATAGGTGGCGCATCTTATTGCCCAATCAAAAATAATTACTGTTGTTCTATATCCAGCCGTTTATTACAGTACCTAGGTACTTTTCCCTTCCTAGGCACCGTGGTTTACCAAAATGGGTTTAGCATCGCTTCGAGAAAACCGGCCCTGAGCTCGCTTATCGAGGCGACAGAACTGCACAAATCGAAATGTTGGGCAACTCTGGGAACTCAGTTGCAAAGGCGAGCGTTAAGTGTATTGCGACGAAGGTAAATGATCAGGTCATTAAAAATGTTTTTTTTTTTTTTTTTTAGCAAACGTTTTGGAAGCTTCGCGAGGTAGGCACGGCTGGACTTCATTAGTGAAACTGATTCAGAAGTGTTCGCTTCTTCTACGTTTTTCTGAGCAGTGTTTGAAAGCTTGGTGTTCTATAAAACGAATAGCTTTACAAAAAAAAAATCCTTGCACCTAAAATGTTTTTAAATAAAAAAATGGAATAATGTATAAAAATAAGAAAAAAAGGAGGGGGGGGGCAGTGATGGAGTGGCTAGCTCTCCCGACCGGACAATAGGAGGCCCAGACCTTAAATACTGGCTCTGCCGTTTATTTTGGCTTTAGTCGATTCGTAAAGGATTCGTTAATGTGACCAAATACAAATAATTCACCAGCATATTTTTGATTATTTTCTCTTTGGACAGATCACGTATGATAATGAAAAGTGCCCCTAATATATTCCAAACGTGGCTCTTGATTATCGAAGATGATGATGATGATACCGCGTCTGTAAAGCTAATAAACAAAAATAATATATATATATAAATTATTTTTGTTTATATATGTATATAAATATATATATATATACATATATATAAAATATTTTGTTTATATATATATATATATATATATATATATATATATATATATATATATATATATATATATATATATATATATATATATATATACATGGTGTCCAAAATAACTTGCTAGAAACTTTACAAAAAAAAAGGAAAAATTGAGAGCTCTGCGCGAGTGACACCAACAGTCTGTGATCAGCGAACGTGTTAAGTAAGTGACCGTGTTTTTTGTTGTACGCCTATTTATTTAGGCAATTACGGTTGAATAACTATTTTTTTTTTAATTATTCTTTTAAGAGCCGACTTGTAAATTGAATAGCTGAAGGACGCAATGGTGAACACCCAATTAGGGCGTTTGCTTCCTACACGATACATTTTGCGCGCTTCTTTTTATACGCATAAAAAGAATGCCCGAAAAATATAAATCAGTTATACCACGTGACCACGCGCCCGCGCGTCGCATTTGCGGCGCTGTCAGAGGTGCTTTGAAGAACCGAAGTTCACCTCATCGTTGCTGCGCTGTTCGAGACAGGGCTTTGCGGCAGCACATGCTCGCGCTTATCTTAGGGAACTACCCCAACGCGAAGCCCTGTCTTCTGTCGTCGTGTGTTTGTTTTATTTACCCATGTGACAGTAAATCAAATATTTTTTATTTCAATTGATTAGAAATAATAGAGCAAGGACTTACCAGATCTGTGCACCTCTTCAGCTATAACGAGCGCATCTCGCATGGAAAGACCGCCTATCACTGTAAATAAATAAAGCTTATCAGACGTTTTCTTTGCCATCCAATTATAGGTTCACAGCTATAATTCCCACTTTACGCTGATCACGGCGCTTTTTTTTTCTTAAACATCCCGTGGTAACAACATATCAATCATGTTCGTCCCGTTGAATTTATATTTTGCACCATCCCCGACAGCACGCCGAACAAACGCAAAACGTGGCCCAATTTTTGAAATACTATAGGTCTCACTTAAATCTGATACGTTTTGCTCCTAGAAACTAGTTCGTCCGAGTGTACTTTTTTTTTTTTGGTTCGCCATGGCAACGAGTTGAGCGCGTAATGTGCCCCCTGTTAAAAATTTTGGAGGGTTGTATTTGGCACTACAGTCACAAGCTATTCGGTAAAAAAAGCAAGAGTTTGTTTTTTTACCGGCTCAGCGGAATTTGATAGATAATCTAACTACGAATTTGTCAGTCAGAGATTGTAAGCGCCTGTTGTGACAGACCCATGCGAAAGTTTTTAGGCTACTTTATAAAGTTAACGTATGGTGATATCCCATATTATTAAAAAAAATATTAATTGTCAGTTACTTTTACAAGAAAAAGATTCGTTGTGAGGTATTTCGTGAGGCTTCCAAGGTGGAATGTAAAAAAAAAAAAAAAGCTCGAGATACACCTAAACATTTCTTATGGGTTGTGAATGCGAAAGCATACAAGCCGCTCTTCCGCTCTCTTATTTCGTCTGCTGCGTGCTTTTCGTCGCCGGTCAGCGCGCGCGAGCAGCGCGCTGAACTTGGACGCTCTGTGTTAATGGAGCTGACGGACACGCAGCGCCATTGGGTGAGCGGTCGTTGCAACTGACGCGCAGCGCCCAATGAGAGCATCGTCGACTCGCGCAAGCCAATGGAACGGAAGGATAGACCAGCTTTAATCCGCTACTTTGGGATTGGGGAATGTAGGTGCCGTTGGCTAGATTTTCGCGCGGTTTCATAGCCGGGAGCTGGCTTCACTTGGAGAAAGGATTTAAGGTGCTGTTTGGCTCGGCTCGCTCTATGGGACAGTTAATGCATTAATATAGGTAAATTATTAACCCCTTAGGCCTTGATCTTCTCCAGATTTTGCCGCTAATTGCAAAACGAAGCCAAACTTGTCTTTTTCCTCTCCTACTAACTAACCTTGTCACGGCACGGGCAAAGGTAAGTACACAAGCGACCCTGGCAAAATCAGGTTCAGGAGTATACAGTCGTATTTGGCAATCTCTCCTACGCGTGGTACTATTCCTTTTTACTTGTGACTCGTGTCGCCAGTGATAAACACTTCTCGGATTGCTAAAACACATCCATCGTATTCCTTGGTACCTAAGTGTAGCACGCTCTCGTGTGGTGTTTTTTCCCGGCGCCGCCCTCTTGTCGTGTGCTCTGAAGCCACTTGATGTGTTCCTATTAATTTTATAAAAAAGCGTCAAATGCGCCAAAGCACGAGGTCTGCGCCTCGTGCAGCTCTAGAAAACAAATGACAGCGAAGCACATGATATGAGCGGCCCCTGGAAGCGAATAGCGCGGACCACTCTATCAGAGAACGTGCTTTTGCATGTACGAACAAAACTGGTTTTAAAAAGCCCCGCGTGCGGCGGGATTTTGAAGCTCCTGTCCATGCACTCTACCGATCGCCACGTAATAGCCAAAAAGCCGCACATAAGCTAGAACTACCACGTATCAACTAGAGATCCTTAAGTAAAGCTCGATTTGGCCACTTGTTTGGCAATACGCTCCCAGAGTTGCTAGTTGAATACTGAAAAAAGACAAGACGTGAAGATTAACTGTAGCTTTTTCTGCGGGAACTGAGACCCCAAGAAGGTCAGGCGACCACGAAACAGTTAGGCGGTGAAAACTAACTCCTGTACTTCTTTAAGAATTTAATGCCTAGATTTCCCGACTTCTGTAAAATAATACAAAGCATGGTTGATAATGCAAGATTGGATATCTTTCTGGATATATCAAAAAAAAAAAAAAAAACTGAAAACCTCTTTGCGGTAATCTTTCCGTCAAATCGAATATATCATAGAAACTAACAATTTGCAGGTTAGAAAGGCGAAATAAATTTTAGAAAAAAGGGTGTGTGTCTTGAAAATATACTCAATGGTAAGAGCGCAGGGTCAGTGGTCCTCTGGAGAGGCTACTTCAGTTTCCTTTGAAATCTCGTACTACAGAAAAAGGGGGTTTAACTTTCAGCTCGTCGAGGTTCGTTTTCGACAACCGATCTCGGTAACTCATGATCACCGCAGGAGTTATTGGCTGTCTTTTGTTTGGATTATACTATTTGAATAGAACACCAAATTAAATACAAATCTGAGATTCTAACAAAAGAAAATAACGCCGATAAACCGAATTGTCAGTGAAAAATGAACTCCGAAATGTGCCCCTCAAATTTTTCAATAAATAATATTCGAAAACATGGAATCCTAGATTTACCTTGGCTTCTTTCGGTTGTCAAGTGCCTAAATTGACCGTAGAAACTAAATATTTTTACAGGATGTGTGCTGACTGTTACAACAAGTGTTTGTTTTAAATAATTCAATAATAAGTAAGAGATATAAAGAATCTTTTAAAATGATTGGTGTGAAAAGAATACCTAATATAAGTGTGACTATTCAATGTTCAAAAATACTCTAACACTTCGATATTATATACCAACTGCCTTGAAACTTACCGTCGAGGTGGGCACTAATAAGTAATTTACAATATATTCACGGCAGTGAATGTTTTTTTTTTAATAATATTGAATATATCAGGTGATACAACCAAACCGTAATTCTTCTATACTGAAACTACGTTACAATCGCGTCTTGAAGTAAACCAGTGTTTGCAATTTTAACGTTGTATTTTGCTTTGAAATGTTTTTATGGGGTGCTTGATACAGCAGAGAGACAACGAATAAAGTAATGCATTTAAAGGCGTATAATCATATTTACTGCGCAGAAGTCAATTTGAGTTGATAAACCGCGGAAAGGTCAAATCCTGAAAAAGAACTAACGTGAGAAATTGATATGTCATGGAATTTAATTTAAGTGTTTTGCCGGCATCTGAACTATACGCAGTTTAAATATAGTAAGATATATATTTATATATTATTTCTTGTCAAAATGTCCAAATGGGGAGTACATTACCCGGTGTTCCTGTGCTTGGAACAGTAAGCATATCAATGGAATCAATGTCGAAACTGACGTGCAATGATCTCGTCCCTCTGAAAAAGATCCAGTACATATTTGTTTATCTGCTAGATAATACTTTAGGTCCCTAAAGAGGGACTATGCGAGAACTGCGCTGCAAAAAAATAAACGCCAAAAAATACGCAGTACAATGGAAGTCAACCTTGAAAACCAGAGAAAGATCGTTTAACGCTCTGGCAGTCATACGTTTTTGGACATTCTAAAATCTAAACATGACGTGATAAAGTTAAATAACTCAGTAGAAACAACAGTTATAACAATGATTCTATTAGCTGCAAATACATACATTTCACGTTCGCGTTCAGATGGAGAATAGATGCGAATGCACCGACTGTTAGGATCAAATTTCTGTGGCATTTAAGAGAAAGGTAGGGCCTTCTGTTAGCGAAAAACAAGTAATTCCGTTCTTTTTTGGGGGGTTTTGGTTGCACTTTTGATATTTGCGTGAGATACGCGGATTTGGTACAGTTCATCACTTCGTATGAGGATCGCGGTTAGGGTTGCTGAACCGCGATTGCCGAGCATGCAAGCAAGCTTATTCACGTCTCATTCCCTACGCTTACCTCGTTTCTAAACACAAGCAAAGCTTTGATTGAAACACACTTGCATTTCTGAGTCTATTAACAGGTGAACTTGTTTGATGCTGAATTCTTCAAGGCGGGTTTGATTTAACCGAAACAGGAGCGAGCAAACAGTACGCCGTGAAGTTAGAGAGCTCTTGGATCCCGTTCAATTTGACCCAAGGGTGATGACGGGGACGGGGGCGGGGGGGGGGGGGGGGGGGGAGGTGCTAGGCGAAGTACAGCTTGGAACACGTATAGCGAAAAATCGCTCTACAGAGCCCAGTGATCTTGGCCCCTGCCTGTTTGTATCTGGATGAACCTCGCACGGGATTGGGGTCGTGAGGATACCACAGTGACTCAGTTCCTTAACTACAGCGTGGAGCCGAGTCACACCCTGAATGTCTAAAAAACGTAACGCGGCTTAAATGTCCACGCAATAGGTAATTAGTGCTGGCTCTCAAGTTCACCAAAAAGTTGGTCAGGCTCTTTCTATGAGTTTTGTTGTATGTCAGCGTGCCTTCCAGTTTCGTGTTTTTGGCTTCGTATCCCGGGCCCTTCAAACATTGTTTCAAATACATTGTTTCAGCGTCACCATGCACGTTTGCATATGAAATTTACCCTCCGACCAGGTGCTTTTGTTTTCCGCGACCGCAACCAAGGACGGCGTGCACTTGGCCGTCTCGTCGTCGCACGTACCCTGCGCAGTATCTGTGTTTCTCTTTGATTGTCGTGCTCGTCCTTTCGTGCGGATCTGCCAAGCATGCATTTTGCACACCATATCACAGTATATTTAAGAGGAGATCCAACCGTCACGCCCCTAGTGGCTAAATTAAGAACTACATCGATAGGGACCACAACTAGCTAGATTATTTGTTTGTCTTTGAAACAGCGCTCGACCTACCTAGCCGAACGTTGGGTCAGCATTGGGGTAAGGCTCGTGTTCAGTCAGTGAAGCCGAACGTGAACGCAGCAAAAGCTTGGGCATATAAGCGGTGCCGAATGTTTGCCCCGCGCTCAATGGAAAAATTTGAAGTACAGAATCCAGATCATGCTCCCTGTGTTGGTAAACACGGCACTGGGGAGAAAAAAAAAAAAAACAAGACGTAGCGCCCCTTATCGTTTGATCTCCTCTACAATAGCGTGGAATGCCAACAGCATCTGAAGAAAACCCATTGTGTTGGAGACGTATTTGTGATCACTAGTCACGATTGAACTCACCTGCGTTGGCCTGTATTGCAAGCTCAGTGGGTGTAGTTCACAACACTGATATACTCTGGGATGGTTAAAACAGTAAATTGTTTCATAAAGGGAGAGACATCAAATATTCAAGAGAAGATATCTCTTTCACACTGAAACTCAACTTGCTTGTAAATAAAACCTTTTATCCTCGCTGGTAGCTTTAAAACGCATGATAGGGACTGTTTCGATCAAGTTTCTCGTTTCCTGATTCGTTCTCCGTTCTTATTTGATGCTCCCAGTATCCCAGAGCCTGTGAAGCGACAGTAAGGTGGACGGTAATTGACACATTCTGCCTTCCTTCAGATGTGGAGAGCGCCACCGGGACAGTGGGCGACGCCAGAACACCGCGGAAATAAGAGAGCGCGTGCCATTAGATCGCGCGACACGAGAGGGCTAAAGAACCGATTGATGGGTTGTTGCATCGCGAAAACTTTCTTTTACTCGTGACAGCAGCTTCACACAAAACAAAAACGCACGACACGTTGAAGAGATAGTCGAATCCCATCATAGCTTCAAGATTCATCTTTGTACGGAATTCCGTCCGGGACAATTTTGTTCGGGATCACTTTGGCTAGGATATTTTTTTTCTTCTCTGGCCCTCATAAAACAGCGTTAATGGACTGGGCTAATCATAGTCCAATTGGAATATTTGTTTGAAGTCGTCGTCAAACTTTTTTGAAGGTCATTATTTATATGCGGTTACTTTTGGGCCATTTTCAATTCTTGCATAGAATTCGCAGCAAATACCCACTAAATCAACTTTGAATGGTAAAACCATATGACGCAAATCTTTCAAGTGCAAAATATATCATCCTACCCACAGTTCCTACAAAAAAGCACAAGCGCGAAACAGGAGTTTCGTTGAGCTGACCAAAAACGTTTTATTATTGTCTTCATATTTTTTTTTCTCAAGTAGCGACCGCTTAGGTACAGTGGCTTATGTGGTTGTATATACCATACCGAAAAAGGGCCCCTGGCGGGTGTCATCTTCAGAGTTATTGCGCATGACGCGTGATTTTTTGGCTTTCCTAAGCGACGAACATGTGCGTGCTGGGGTGAGGAAATCGGACTCAAGGCAGAAAACCTGTCAATTTCGGACTGCAGTATTGTCGCGAATACCTTGCGCGAAACTCACCAAAGCGGGCATATGCGCTCTCGTGACGCGCGATCAACTGGTTGCGCCGGATCCTCGTGTCACACGCTCAAACGGCACACTATCTCCCGTCGAAGCTATCATGTGGTGCCCTTTAGAAATAAACAGCCCTTAAGATCTCATTGAGCATTGTGTGAAATGCAAACTGCGCGTGAAGCAACGCCAATGAGGAGTTCGTGTATTTTTGTCCACTGCTCGATATTCCCCTGTCCCGGGTTGTTGAGAATTGTGACGTCCGAGCCTACCTATATCAATATTCGAATACTTTGGATACTAATAGTCCGAAAAAAATGTTTCGTTATTGGAGTGATTTCAAATTAATGAAAACGTCTTGTCCTTTTAAAGTTAAAGCCTACTTAAGTCCGTTTGTAAAATAAAGCTGCTAGTAGACTTACTCGGGGTTGATTTGCGCGAGGGCCAGTCGAATAACCTCGGTGATGCCAATGCGGTCAACGTCTTCTATACTGTACAGTGTTATTCCCAGCTTATCCATGAAATATCTGCAAAAGTATGCGTTCATAACCCGCGGTTTGTGCAATCTGAACTTTGCAAACTAAAGACTAATAAAACGGTCATAAATAAATTTTTAAACGTTTAACTTCTTAGACTCATGCTTCCTCTCCCCCCCCCCCCCCCCCCCCCCCCGTATTTTTAGAGGGATCCCAACTTTCAGATTTTGGCAACAACTAGTTTACCATTTCGAGATCTTGCTCAACAGCGATGAGGAATTCAAGACTAGGGCATATATTTTGTCTTCAAATTCAGTTTCTCGATTCTGGTTACGTTCTTTGGAGGCTGGCAGTGATGTCAATATTTACCACATGTAAACTTGCCTGAAATTAGTCACCCAGGAAAAATACATCTTCCTAATACTAGCTTCAATACTGACGCAGAAGTACATGCGTACAAGCAGTGTAATGCACTCATAACACGTAAAAAATGATTTTTTTTTTCACAAACAATATTTAGTAACTGTCAGCTTAAGAAACATATTCCGTGCCGTATTTTGTTAAAACTTTTTCTTCTTGGTTTGTTATTTTGCAATAAAATGGGTAATATAGCTATTATTTTAGCAATAGAGCAATGATAAAATACTGAGCACTTGTCACATCCTGCATTTTTAAGATTTTTGTTACTGCAATGTGGAAAACATCAAACATATGAGCGTAGATTACCTTTCGTAAGGGTCAATTGCTCTCAAAGCGATGTAGGCAAAATTGTCTTTTCGAACACTGAAAGAGGAATCGGGCGTAAATTTGCAAGTTTTTATTTATAAGTTGTCTTTTCTCATGATCCATCGATGCGGTTTTCGAATCGGTGAACTACTACTGTCCGAAAAAACAATGCAACAATTTGGGTGACAACACCGTCCTTCTATCCTCCGGATTACGCCACAGCACAAGATCCCAGCAACGGGCGGTGCCAACACTACGGACTATCGGCTGCCCACAAGTCACACCAAAGGGCGGAACGGGCGGACCAGGATTATTTAGCAGCGATGGCTGCATCGTGATACAAACTGCTAACATCTCCCGCACGCTACTTGCGGGTTGGTTTACGGCTTTTTGTGTCCATGTTGCTAACTAAACCACTGTTGCTGCTGCCGCTGCTGCAGCCATTTTTTTTTTGTCTCTTGCTTACCCACAAGTACGTGCGCGGTTTTTAACATTTAAATACATAAAAACATGCGTGTTTCTTTGCGGTCTGAGGAATTTCCTAAAATAGGAGAACTCGTGCTGCTTGTACTACAATTGCTCACACCTCCTCGGTTCGTGTTACGGAATCACTGCCGACTGATTCCGTAAGTGTGGAGCTCAACATGGTTGAGCTTCGCATTTACGTGCGGAGCTCCGCTCTGCATGTAAGTGGGAAAAATCGCGGACGTCCAGAAGTAAAAAGAAAAAAATATAAATTCGACATGGTGGGCCAGCTTCGAGTATAAACATGAAAGAGGGTTCGCTCATGACGATTGAAGAGACGGTCGACAATATCGAGAAAACCGTCTAATACCTTTCAGACGACTATGATGACCTGCTCAAAACTAAAACTAAAATAAAACTAAAACAAAAGAAAAAATTGGAATACGTATAAAAACAGATCAAGATTCATAATCATAAAAGCGAAATAAAGCAAGTGAAACCCGATATTAACAATCCCGAATGAAGAAGTAGAAAATTAAACCTGGACTTTAAGGATTTGCCATAACCGCAAATTAAAACTCGCTTAAAAAAGTCCCTGAAATACCAGTAAACTTGGAAATGGCGCAGTTCGTTGAATCTGCTAGCACCGCAGTACACAAATTGCCCGAAAAGCTAAGGTGCCCGGAATTTTTGTTCGTTTTATGAAGCAGCGAACAAGAGATGCCTGACTCCATACCAAAGAAAAATGAGACGAAAATCAATCTGGCCCCTTCATTCTTCAAAACTTGATGAGGAAAAACAAGGCTCTGCTTCTATCCAAGAAAGTCTGGCCCCGTGACAAACGGTTTGATACGCGTGGTATCATAAAAAAAAAAAAAAATTATAATCCGAAAAAAAAAAGAAAAAGAAAAAAAAAATCGTGATACAGCTAACGTTGTAAAGGACAAGGACTAGAAACAGAGGAGTGAGGTAAACTTATAAAACTTTACTTTTTAATGTTTTTACCCTAAGATGGAAGATTGCATATTTTATTTTCTGCCCCGTGATTTATTACATCCTAATGAAGATGATTTGGATGTGCCTTTAATATATACTCAATTGAACGCGCAATCTGCAGAAAATAAATTTTCTGACCTTGAGCATTTGTTTTGATCAGTTAATGTTTCATTTAACATAATAAAGCTCACTGAGAAGTGGTACTGTATTTCTAAACCATACTACTAAGCGCGGTGTCGGCGTTGCAGTCTTCACAAATCAGGCGAGTTATCTGTGAATTACCCAGCGACTTTTCAACTGTTACATAGCTACGAGGTACTGTCATTGAAGGTAAACAAAACTATTGTCCCTGGTGTTTACCGTCCTCCTGATGGTAATATCCTGCAATTTTAATTTTGAGGAAATTTTGAATTTATAAAAGTAAATAGTTATATGTCATTTTCGGTGGGGACTTTAGTATCAACATGTTAATTGAGAATTATAAAAAAAACTGGAACTTATCATTCAAGCAAATGGCTGTTCAAATGTAGTCAATACACTAACACTAATCACTGAGATCGCTGAATTATTTATAGACCTATTCATAACAGACTTCGAATTATGTGTCAGAAACTCTGGAGCAGTCATTTTTGACATCACTGATCACCTGGCCAAATTTCAATGCGTTCATAAGTGCGTGATGAAACCAATAATACAAAAGGATGCTAGGTTTCTACTTATAACGAGTGGCCGGTTTGATACTGTTTGTGCTGGATTAAGCAACACTGATTGGAATGGAGTAATCGGTGAAGCCAGCCTACAGAACGCTTTTTATATAAATATCAATCAATTTAAACTCAGCTACGAAAAGATGCTCTTTACAGATCTATGACAGCAACAAAAAATCTTGAAAACCATTAATAACATCAGGGTGGCTTAGACAAGTTAAAATTAAACATTGCCTTTGCAAGACATTTCTAAAGAAAAGGAACCTAGATAATCTAAGGGTTTCTAAATTATATCGAAACTGCTTGAACGATAATATTAAAATGCTAGGAAACGCTATTACTTTGTGTTTTTGTTTAATACGGTGACTGACCGCATAGATATAACGGGGAGAAAGCTTAATTAGATCATATATCCTCAGCGTTCGACAACTGTTATCGTGAAATTTTTTGTGAACGGAATGGAATAATCTGCTCGCTCGCTTGCAAATGTTTTCAACAATTTTTATGAACTTTGTAACCAATCATCGCGACTTTAATACCTGTAGGTTGATTAACAAATAAACATGAGACCACAATCTACCTGAATCGAGTTACTCAACGCGAAGTAATGTCCGCATTTCTTAAACCAAACAACAGCAGCAAATCTGATAACGGAATTCAAATTACGCCAGTTAATCACTTTACTGAAGTAACTAGCTCTTGCAAAGTTCATATCTTTAACCTTTGTTTAGAAATTGCGATTTCCACCCAGGACGGAGGTAGCTTAAGTGACAGTTCTATATAAAAAGGGCAATAGAAACGACTTTCGAAACAATAGACCTCTTTCTGTTATTTATGTGTTTTCAATGGACTCTAAAGCATTTAGTGTAATCATCTTGTCAACTTTACAGAACAATATAACAATTTAACCGCTCACATTATGCGTTTCAAAACCTTGTTCCAGGGAGCTAGCTTTACTTTACCAAACTAATTTATACTGGACAACTTTGAAAACAACAAAACTAGCGCCATCGGTGTTTATGTTTGCTTTACAGAAGCATCATATTACTTAAACCGTAAACTACTCTTACAAAGGCTCAAGGCATAAAGCATAAAAAGAGAACCTTAACACAACTAAAGAGCTACTTGAGCCACCGGAAGCAGTACGTCCACATTAACGGTTATTTATCAGATGTAAATGATCTAACTTCGAAGGTGCTTCAAGGAAGTTGTTTAGGACCGTTTCTGTTTAATATATATATATATTCACAACTTAGTTAATATATACAACCAAGTCAAGTTTTGTCTCCAAGCTGACCAAACCAGTGTCTTCTATATGCTGGAACTGGGGATGAGATAGCTGTTATCGCAAATAACGTACTAGCAGAGATAGATTCATAGCCAAGCGCAAACAAGCTCCAAATCAACGCAACTAAAACAAAGGCTGTTTGCTTTCGACCTATATACAAATTCGTTGAAATTCCAGCAAGTGTGAGAATGGTCTCCTTAATAACTGAGGTTGTTATGCCATTTAAAACACAAGAAGTGTATTTTTCGAAAATATATATACTGGGATAGTCACGTTGATTACATCACATCAAAGCTAAGTGGCGTTGTAGTTTTATGCCTCGGCATGGGCTTATATATTTTTCTTTCAGTGTTAAACTACTTCGGTGAAAGTCATTATTTTATTCTCATCTAAACAACTGTAGTTTTATTTGGTAAATAACCAAAGGCTAGTACCTTCAGAAAATACATCATTTGCAAAAAGGCTCTAAACTGATTTGCAATGTCGTCTGACTTTCTCACACAATTTTCTCAATCTGAACGTAATGAAAATATTCACATTCTAGAATTTACGTTATGCAGCAAATATAAGGCAAGATGTAGAAAAAAAAGAGGCTGTTTCGTTTCTAGCGTCTCTGCAGAAAAAAAAATTGATTGAAATCGTGATTTTTGGAGTTAGGTTTACTGAAAACTCCCGCTTCAGTGATGACATTCAGATAATCAAGGTAATCCTCCCGAACTTACTCAATAGCTCAACCTTAAAGGGGCACTGCCTCGTCAAAACCATATTTTAATATCCGAAACGATTAAACACAATGCCTGGGCATTGCCCTCAAAATTCCGAACTTGGCAATTCAGTATTTGTGAAGTAAAAAAAAAACCTTTTTCGAAACGTAGAATTTTAAGGTTCCCCGCGATCCGCGCCAGTGCAGTGACGTAAAATTTTGAGCCGTCCTGCGAGTCAAATTTCTTTGCGCCTACGAACCACCGCCGCTCGAAATATTGTGTTCGCCGGCGTCCCGCGAACATCCGGCTGCGAGTAGACGACAATTGACTTTTCAGTTAGAAGTTATCTTGTGGCCCTTTCAGCGACCTCAAATTCTTTGAAACGGTGCGAGGTTGAAAAGAGCGCGCAGTGGACTTTTGTGAGTGACGCGAGGTGTCACGTCGCGCTGGTTTTGCGTGAAAGGCTGCCCCGGCGGAGTCACGACCGAAACCACATACAGAGGCACGAAACCCATTAGTTTTGACAGTTTTACGATTTCTTTTTCGAAGTCTGAGGGGTCGCCGGGAACCCAAAAAAGACACATTCGTCCGATTCCCCGGCTTACCGATCAACTTGTGCTACACGCGTCGAGCGCCCCTATGTTTTCAGAGGGAGGATGAAAAGCCAGGAGGCGACATCACTTCGGACTACGATTTTCGGTATTTTAAACAGAACTTCCGTAGTGTGTTTGCAATTGCGTTAAAAACATGTTTACGAATTCCGCTATTAAATATTTGCATCATATTATTAAAAAAATAAAGATATTTGAGTCATCAATGCCTCTTCAAACCACATGGATAGAACAAAGTTTTCCCCCGAAGAATTACGGTCTTATACACTACTGTTGCATTTCTATGGTTTTTCTTGCTTTGCTGTTTTTTGTATACACTGTTCTCTTCATTAGTTAATATTGTAGTACTTTTTTTAAAGATATGCATAACATGTATCACGTCTGTGAGTACTCGGATTGCCGCGGCTGCTGAAACTTTTGTGGTACTGGGAAACCACGAAGCGTTATGTGCCGCTTTTTTTTTCCAGCCCCCCACCTTTGTAAAAATGGTAAATAAATATTAAAGGGGAGTCCACGTCTGCGTGCTATTTTTACATGAGAAGATTTACAAAATTGCTTCAACAGACCACATTTTTTGCTTGAACTTAAAGTTTTATATAATAACAAACCTATATCTATGACGCCACTCCTTTCTTTAGCTCCAGGTAAGGTGCCAGCGGTTATAGTATATGTAAGGTGCCATGTACTATATAAAGCCTGCACATGAAGAAATATACCGTATTTATAATCTGTTAAGCTTAAAAAACGCCCCGAGCTCCTTAGCTTTTTATAACCTTAAACAAAAATATGATGTTGGTTGATACTCATATGCAAGAAGCAGACGAGGAATATTCCTACATTGAGGGATTTGAGACAAAGGTGTCGTACGTCTCCATTCGATTAATGGTTCAATTAAAAAAAGTTCAATAGTATTTTGGGTAAGAGCAGTGTGTTTGGTACTAGTAAACAATGTTTACTCTAATGTTATTAATACATAAAGTAAATAAAATAGACTGGTTTCTATTCGTGTTTAATCCAGGAAAGCAGTATGAAATAAACAAATAAATGTAAGGGCTCACCAGGGTTGAATCCATTCCATACCCGTGGGCTTTCTCAAGAACGGCTTCATTTCGTGGAGGAGAAATGCAAGAGGCATTCCGTGTATGTGGCCTGGGTAGGAATAACTTAAACGTAACGTGATCACCGAAAAGCTTGTGCGTTAAGGGTAAGACACTTGATATCGCTGAATTGACATTTCGTTTTTCGGCGTTTCGTTTTTTTCTAAAATAGTGCCGTCAGTGTCAATATGTTTGCTGAGGCACTATATAAACAATTACCTGAAGTTAAAACGCAAGGATCCCGGTATACTATTCAACGCAACATATTTCCATCTGAAAATGCTCATGGCATTTTTTCTTTCCACGTCTTTTCAGAGCATTCCCGAAACCCGAATTTGTGAAGCATAAATGCCAAGATATTTTCTTTGGGAACAAACATAACATCGCGCTGCTTCACAATATAAACACCAAAATGAACGATTCTTTAATTGGAAACGATGATCACGCCAGTAAATTGACTCTCGTGCTAACATACTCTTTATTATTTGCCCAAAACCCTTGATGCCCAGTAAAGCTAGTTCGTTCCAACATACAAGAGTGCAGGATACTACAACAAAGTAACAGAAGCAAAAAACCTTAAGTACGTAATCACTCTTTAGAATGTGTAAAAATGTCAATGTGTCTAAAATATAAGTATTTACATTTTATTGTTTTCGTATGTGTATATGATGACATTTTACATGGGACATTCCTTGAGACAGACCACGCTTGCGGTGCAGGGAAGGTATTATAAGGACTCCAATTTTTATGGAGGGAATATTGGACACATATCGTTGTACGCTTTGCAATTGGCGGTAGATTTCGCCAGTTGGAATTGCAACTGAAGGCCAAATATGAAAATGCATGTGCGGCGTTTCAAATAATGTATTTGTTAATTAATATTGCTTGATGAGAAACAGCCCTGATGTATAAAATGGGTACCACAAAAGAGAGTTATATGTGATGTAAACATTTTTGGGAATTCAGTTGTGGTTTCTATAATTAGATGCATCTTACCACTTGGGCTGGAGAGAGGTGTATTAATGTCGCTATGGGCGTCAACCCACAGAAGAGAGATGTGAGAATCCATGGCCATCGCGTGAGCAGAAACTGTTCCAATGGACATAGTGTGGTCACCGCCAAGATTTATACTTAGCATGCCTGAGCTTAGAACCTCGTTGACGGCATTCATGGCCTTGAAGAAGAGTTCACAGTTTTGTTATATAATGATTTACATTAAAAATACCTAACACAATTAGCTACACTACCTATAATTGCATGAATGTCAGAAAAACAAAATAATAGGCTAACCTGTTTAGATAATTAAGTTTCCGTTTTACCCCTTTTCTGCAATGAACTTTACACTCTAAGAAATGCCTGCGAGTCTACTTGCCCGAAAATTTCTCGAAAAGCTAATCTGCGCGATCTACGAAATCAGCTCAGCGGATTATGAGGCAGAACATCTTCAATTTTAGAACTAAACGGATGTTCCGACTCATCATTCCTTAGCTGATTTCGCAGATCGCAGATATTGACTCTTTGAATGTTTTTCGGGTAAGTAGAGGCACAGGGATTTATTAGAGTGTGATCTCACTACACTTGTCATTACAAGTTTTCAAATGATATATTTTTCAAAGTGGAATCTGCGAAATGGTCCGAGTGAAATATTTCAATGAACTATTGTAAGACTCTATTGACCGGAGGTCATTAGGTGAGGAATTATGTATTATTAATAAATAATTAGGACTGTTTTAAATGTACACGTTACCTGAAGAGCAGAATAGTGAGGTTAAAGTTTGTGTGATAAAAATCACTGCCGTAGATTTCTTCAAAAGGTATCGTGAATGAGTTTTTTAAAGTTTGGTGTGAGGCGCTACATTTGTCAAGTTTAGTTTGTCTCCATTCAGCGGAAAGTTTGTGATCAAGAAACAGGCTAAGCGTATCATGATCTTTAAACCCAAGAATGTGGTAAGGGAAAAAATATGATCATCGCATGTGCTGAAGTAACGTTGGAACTGCATTCAACTTTGATGTCCCCATAGTCTCAAACCGGGTGGCCTAAAACATTAAGTCGTCCTGTTATGAATGAGGAAGTGTAATAATGCTAATCAATAGAAAAAAAAGATGCCTACTTCTGAGCTATTTTTCTTTGGCTTTAAAATATCCTTTTTCCCCTCACCACTCTCGGGTTTTAAGCATCATGATTCATAATTACCACTTTGCCTGCACAGTTAGTTTAATTAGTTAAGTGTGCTTGGTCTTTGAGGTTAATGTAATAAGAGTTTTATAAATAATCATGCTCGCCGCTTAAAAAAATAGCAAATCACTATTTTGCACACGATGACGGCACTAGACAAATAGCGCAGGTCGACTTTACTTTATGACACATGGCAAAATAGTAGCGCATTAGAGACAGGACACAAGAATCAAAACACAAGACGAGCGCAAAATTGACCTTAAACTAAACTACTTCAAAGGAGCAACATTCTGTTCTGAATTTTTTTATGTCTCTCTGTTATAAAGTTACTTTCGTATTTATGACGATAATTTGGTCACAATAACTGTGACTGTCAATCCGTTGCGCATCCTGCCCAACGCAATGATACAGTCTAGTGTGATATTCATCCCCAAGATATTGGAGCATTTGGCCTCAGAAAAACAAAAACATGGTAAAAACCGATTTAAGCCAAACTGCGGTCACAGCTATATGCCCCAGCAGAATTGTATACGGCAATAAGATCATGTTATAAATCGCTTATTAAACATCAAGAATACATGCGTTTTACTTCTATGCCAGATATATCCTCTTTTGCATCTGGCCCAATAAAAAACATTGAATTTGTGATCCACATATTGCAAAACCGCAAAGGTACCGAAGACTGTAATTTCTTTACTCAGTGCACGCATCTCTTATAAAACCCAATCGTCTTCGCGAAATATTTTTATTCTTCTGAATAAAACAAAAACAAAAAAAAAGGAATGTCTAGCAGTCTTCCTTATAAAATTTTATACCGCAAACAAAAACACAAGAAAACGGTGTTTCGAATGACGAAAATAATCCCTGGAGAAGGGGAACAAGAGGAAAAAAGAACAAACGTAAATCTCCAAACACAGCTAGGTGACTGGCGAGCGGCTGAAAAAATACGCCTGGCTCGGGTATCGAACCCGGGACCTCTCCATTACAGTCGTCCTTGTCCAGCTCGCTTGCACCTTTGCATTCAATTGCATTATAATTAGTGTTTCGAAGACAGATCAGTTAACTCGTTAGTAGGTCAGTATTATTGCAACGTTTTGTGTGTATATACGTTCAAGCACGTTGCATGTGAACAGAAGTTAGAAATGAATACGCGCACGCTTTACGAAAAAAATTCACGTGTTTTTAATATCTGTGCGTCTGTCTGTCTCTTTCTTTGTCGCTATATATTTATATGTCCCTGCCCCTATCTCAACCTCCGTAATTGTTTTTGTGTTGGCCTCTTACTGTATTTATTTATTTATTTCATTTTGTACCTCTCAATTCTAATGAACGGTACATTATAAAAAAATCAGACAAGAAAGAGGTCTTTTATGAATGAGACCAAACCACTCACGTTTTTGCTAGTCTTCCCAACACAATCGCTTTTCATCGCATGTGTTGAAGTAATGTTGGAATCGCCTTCAACTTTGACGTCGCCATAGTCTCGAACCGGGTGACCTAAAAACATGAAGGTGTCCTAATATGAATCAGGAGGTGCATGTAGCGGTAAGACATAGGTACTACGAATAAACGCTCATCAACAGGCCGGATATTTGTATGCATGTTTCACAGCAAGCCTGCTGTGATATTCCAGGCTTTAAGTGGCACCCAAGTTCTCCGAGCTGAACGCGTGCGGGGGGGATTAGGGTGACAGTGAAGAAACGGCATTGGAAACGTTCGGAACACACCCCGCCGGAGGGAGCAGGGCGTGGAAGTGGAAGCTGTAAGGCGACGGACCCGAGCTCCCCTGATTGATCCCTGGCCTGGCCTTCGGCTTCCTCCAAATTATGCTGCTTAGCCGCAGCTCGTGCGCGTTGTTGCGGGGGACATTTTAAAAAACAACTCCGTTCAATTCCGGGAAATCCGAGTTAATGGTTGATTATATATCCCGAAGTAGTAATAAGCAGTACTTTGTCGCGTCTTTCAAAAAAGAGGAATATTGTTTACCCATTCTGTATTGAAAGCTCACCAGAAACCGAAACCGAAACCTTGTTAATGCACTTCTTTTACTAAACGGGCCACACGTACTTCCAGTGGTCGTGACTCGAGCCCAACTCCGGAATTTCGTCGTCGAACTCGATTCTCGTGGATTGAAATAGTCCTACGTTCTGAAGGGTGACGAAGTTCCGCCTGGTGCAGCAGAGAGCAGACGCCAATCGCAGGCGGCTCGCTCGTGTTTTTTTAGACATTTCGCTACTACTGGTTCGTCCGGCAAAGCTATCTGATAATCCGACCTACTTCCCGATGGATGTATTATTTGTTTATTTTATTTATTTATGAATACTGTTCACCCCAAGTATGGGGCTTTAACAGGTGTGGGGTATAAAAGAGCACTGAAACATACAACATCAGGACTACAATACAGTACACAGAAGCAGCGAAATGTGTTCAATATTATTGGTTGTCTTTGTGATGAAGTGGGAATGAGGTGATATTCTTGTGTGATGCGTTAAATTAACCGTCTGCTTCCTTGTGCCGATCTTTTTGTTGGAGTTGCTAGGTGTAAGCACGCACAGCTTTGTAAACGTTGTTTATTACTTTAGATTGTCGGTGTCCACCAGATGTTTCTTGTGTCGTCTCAATACAATTCATAATGTGAGTTTATGCTCAACGCACCGTTAAAAACGCAGCGATTCTTTTTTTTTTTTTTTTGCATCGTGCATTGGGTTTGTTTATATTTCCTGAGGCAGTCTCACTGAATGTTTCCATAGCCTCTTAGCTAAAGAAAGCAGCGCAGCTTCTGCATTCTGATGCAGTGCGCAACATATGAACAAAACTTCACAATTTGACTTTGTTTACGGTTTTTTTTTTTTTTCTGAAATGGCGACTAAGCTAACTAATGCTCGAAACGTTATTTTAATTAGTAATATCCGTACTGAAAAAAAAAAACATTTGGCGCCCATATGAAAATAAACGGGTCCATACCGGTAACCGTTTAACCATACTGGTCACCAGTTTGTCAAAGGGGTCGCCCGTATGTTTCAAAGGGGTCCCCGGTATGAGCCATAACGGTCACCTATTTGGCAAACGGGTCGCTCGACTGGGCAAATGGGCGACTCGTTTGGGCAAAGTTGTCGCACGTTTGCTAAAACCGGCGACCATGTTGCAAACTGCACCGGTTTAATCAAACGGCTCTCCGGAGCCCGTTTGATATTGAACGTACAGATCGGCGGCGTGGGCACGCCTAGCGTTTCAGCCGTGGCAGCCAATGTTTTCCGGAAGGCTGGGTGCGCCGGTTCATCGATTTCAGATCGTCCGCGTAATGCAAGTAATTATATTTATATTTCAATTGCGCTGATTTTCGATTATACTGCAACTAAAACTAACACCTTTTTTTTTGTTGTTTTACGTAAACGCACGACGTTGGTGAGCCGATATTTTTGACAGACCTTTAATACTTTGTCCATCTTTGTCGCCTCAATTTACTTATTCAGCTCGAATCACTCTCGCAGAAGACGCCACCGCGTGAAAGAATGTACGTCTAGACTCCGTTTCACTTTAATTCAAGACGCAGCGAAGGTAGCACGCGTACACGCGGCTGCAAGAACATCAAGCATTGCGAGAGCACGCCCGCCGTTGCAGCACTCAAACTACGAGCTTGCGCTGAGTACTTTCTTCGCTCGGGCGCAAGCCGAGCTTCTGGCCGCCCCGCCACCATTTCCAAAGTTCGAGCGCGCGCGCGCGCGCGCGTTTGTTCTTCGGGACTACAAAAACGCATCTCCCTGGAATGCCTGGGGAGAGGGAGAGGGGCCGTCCCGGTGGTCCCAGAGCCTTGACCTCGCCCCCTCCCTCCTCTCTTGTCACCCCTGTCACGTGACCCACAGCAGCGCGCGAGCTACACGCTGATAAGCATCGAGATCCGGAAGGGCGCGCCTTGCTGCCGCTTTTTTCTTTGTCTGCTTGTTGTCAGTTGCTGCTCGAAGTTCGCTCGTCCTACCTGCTTCAATCTGTCGCCTAACCCTGCGGTCTTATTGGGATGTCTCTCGACAACGTATTGGATGTGCACCAAAGCTCTCAGTGTTCGAAAAGACCCACGTGTATGTCGGCAACGAGCGATTCTTCAAAGTCGCACATTCTCGCGGTTTGTTTGGGTTCGGCAAATGACAGCTTGTGCGCCGCATCGTGTTGAAACTTCCAAGGAGCCGTTCCCTCTCGTTTGTGTTTGTGTGGTTGTCCTGCTTTGACCGTGTCGACAAATATCACGGATTACATCTTTCAAGTCCGCTATTGTTATGGTAAGTGCACTGCAACCTACGTGTTGGCAACGATTGACCGTTTTTCTACGCGTACTCTTCTAGATTATCTATAGAATTATGTAGCGCCTATTCGCGCGGCACCCAGGAGAATAATTTCCCCGAAAGTCTACCTGTATAGTATTCACAGATCGCTTGCACGTTTGTACTTGTCTACAGAAGAGGTAATAAACTTCGAGGAGAATTGAAAACAACCTTTTGTGTCGGTTTTCCTGTCCACTTACAAGCACCTACGCGAGTGCATTTGTTCTACGTGTTTTCTCCATGTTATAAATACGTTTATGAGTTTCGGGACGTCTTAAGTATGTTTAAGATAACCAACCTCCCAGACGATACCCATTTAGGGCTAGAGCATAATTTGCCAATTCGAATGGCACGTTCAAAAGTGTGGTCACGTGCCATGTCGAACGGGTACTCGTACCATACGGCACCCGTATCAAACGGGCACCTGTATCAAACGGGTACCGTTTCCAAACGGGTACCCGTATCCCATAATCACGTTTGACCCAAACGGATCGACAAGTTTGATTCAAACGGGCGACCAGTTTGCCACCCGCTTGAATTTCAAATGGTTTTTTTCAGTAGGGATACAGAGGCAATACAATTGCGGCGTGCTAATGAGGAATTGTATTCGCTTCAGCCCCGATTTCATGCGTTATAAAAAGCAAGCAACGACACAAGCTTACGCTAGAACATCAGCAGCGTCAGATTAGCGTGTTCTGTCTTGTGCTTTGTCGGCGTGCGGACCATTTTGCAAGGTTTCCCAAGAAAAGCAAAACGAAAGAAAACAACCGGAAATTCACATAGAGGGCGCAAAATGCACTCGGAGATGCTCTAAATTACCGTTTAGCAGAGACTCCGGCAGTGTTAATCGAGCCTGAGTCATGAAGTATCCACTTAAGGCACCCATTGATCCTGTGTCGTCACCTACATACTTTAACCAGGTGGTAAAAAACGTAATGTCACCTACCAAGCGGCTGGCCAAGCCGGGTGCAGCTGGACGCAAAGGCAATGTGTCGTCTGTTACTATAGACCGTTCCTATAGGGTCATTGCAGAGAGGGTAAAAAGAGAAAAAAATGCCCCCCCCCCCCCCTCTCGCCCGGATGTCGCCTGCTCCGCCAAGTGGGCCGTACCTAGCATCCGGCTGGCGTACAAACTCTGTTGAAAATCGCGTCATTTTGAGAATTTCAAGCGCAGATGCGCAGATTTCGGTATGCCAGTTATCGTATATTACTATGCTAGATAAAAAAGACTAACAGAGTCTAATTGCACTGTTATCTGCGTGCAAATAAAAAAAATAGGGAAAACTGTGTCAGACTGGCCGGTCTCTCTGGCGAAAAGTGAATCCGGTGGCTGTACCTTTTTTACTATACAAAGTTCGTACTGGTGTAGTCCTTTAGCGACCATGAGTGGATGTCTGAAATAATAAATAAAAATGTGCTCTCCTGCCGCAATACACGCAGTAGTTGAGGGTAGTACTGCCGGCTGACTCAACTGCTATTTAAGTGGCAGAAAAAAGATATGTCAGTTGATCATTTACCGAAGTAGAACAACAGAGAGCTCTGGGCTGATCTTGGAGTAGCCATAACTATTCTAAAAACGCGAATTACTTCACAACGGCAGCCACGAGCGAGAGTTCGATGTTCCGTACAGCCCGCCAATAGAGCCCATAGATGGAGAATGGCAACCTCCCGTTTTGTCGTCTGCTAGCGGAGTCGGGCGCGTGCGCCCTCTCTCTCGTTTTACCCCGCCGAACCCGCTGAATTTCCCGGATGTATGGGGAGGGCGCTGCTGTCAAACAAAATGGTGCCGCCCAGAGAGCGCTAAACGGAATGGTCTATTGGCAGTCTGGTATACCCGGCAATGCCTTCGCTACCGTGGCCGCAGCCTGTGTTTTATAAAACACAAGCTGCACAACCTCTTTCGGCCCTATAGGACAGAAAGAGGTTGTTGTTGTTTGAAACACTTTTAACGAATGAATGTCAATTTTTCGCGAGGGCTTGTTTTCAAAACCTTAGTATAAAGTGCAGTTTACTAAACCACACGTAAATATGTCGCGACGGGCTTATAGAAGTATAGTGCCCAACGTCGCAAACTTTCTCTCTCTCACGCGACAGAAGCTGCCGGCGATGACAAACGCTCGCATAGGATTACACAGGCGCATATGCGATCCGCGAATCACGTGGTCAACGATGAGTGCGCTG